TTTCCAATTAAATGTAATCATCTTTCCAGGCCTACCTTGTGTGCATCACTGAGCAGTAGTTTAATTCGAAAGATGTTCATAGCGATATACAGCAAATATTACAAAAGGTTAATTAAGGCATGATAATTAAAAAAGTAAATGCTGAAACATTTTGTATTTTGCAACAAAAAAGCTCAAAGGAGTATAAGGCTTAAGTTTTTTTGCAATTTGTGTACTTTTTGGAGGGAGAAGACAAGCCAGAAATCAATTTCCACTTATGTATAACAATACAACACTTCTCATTAGTCTCTCTGCAGCACTCTATCCATTTGTCTTGTTTTCAGCTGCCAAATTTCAGGATTTGGGTAGGTACATGTTTACACCCATGTTCTTCACTCCTGTTTATCATCTAAGTGGTCATTTATTGTTAGTCTTTCCTCATTGTAAGTCAGTGTAAGCAAGAATCTCTTGATTACTAACGATTTTCTCATCACAGAAAATGTCAGGTATACCGCTCACATGGCAGATGTGTGGCTGCGGTGGTCTAGCCCTTCAGCTGTAAGGCATGGACTTAGAAGCGAGTGCTGATCTGCAGAATGTGCTGTGGAATATCTGCAGCCCTCTTGCACATTTTGAAATTAAATTCTGGTTAATGAACGCTTCTTTAAAATGGGCTATGTGCAAAAGGAATTCTGTGTACCGTTGTCCGTGAAATTTTATTTGCGTTTTCGTTTGCATCATACTTTGCAACACAAGACTAGTGTGTGCATGCCTCTGTGATTTATATATGTGCGGACAGGGGTGCAGTGTTGGGAGGATTCTTGTCCTGTATGTTGTAATCACATGCATATTACATTGGTTCATTTTATATATAAACTAATATCATCTGTTATTACTTCAAGATCAGGGATAAAACATGACTTTATTCTTCGTCTGTATAGGTGCGCAACAGTGAAGACACTGATAACACTTCTATTAATTTTCTTACTGCAAACAACCCAGGATGGCCTAGCCTCCAGCAGAGGAGTGGAGACGGCCATGTCACTTAAAGACGTCCTGAGGGAAAGGAGCAAGTGGCAACCTCCTCCCTGCTCTATAAAGGCCAGGGGCTGCTGCAATATCTGTGTTTCATTAGCTACAAACACCGGTGGTTTGGATGATAAGTCATTTTTATAAGGCCCTCCCTACATTACTGAACACCATCAGCACACCTGCAGCCTATCACTTACCCAGTTCAGAGGCTTCCCTTAAATGGCACAACACAGTAACAATGCAAATTACATCAAAGCTATGATTTAGAGGCCATTTGAGATTTTGTGGAACCAAAATATGCTAATTATGCATGATATAACAACACTTAGGGGCTGATTTACAAGAGGCAGTAATTTGGACTTTGCAGTGTCTGGAAAATGGACATCAGTCTGTGAGCTCATATCCCCAGTGTCACATATTCAGTCTTGAGGTGGCAACAGCACTGCGCTCCTGTTGTTTTGTCCTAGTAAATCCTCGTTTTCCACAGGGTGATGGGAATAGTGTGCAGGAAAAATGCAGAAACACTTCAGAGCGTTTGAGTCCAGTGCTGTAATTGAGTAAATGAGGTCCTTCATGTTAGGAATGTTTGATGCAAATAATTTCATAATTTCATCAACAATATGGGAAGGCAATATGGAAAAATGGGACCACCTCAAATATCCATGGTCATAATTCCCCAGGCATCATGAATTTATTTGGTTAAATGATTTTGAATTAACTAGACTTGTATTAAAAGATAAGTTTTATACTCAATTAAATTAAGTAAATAAACTCAACAAATCTAAATGCAAAAACAATGCTTGATATCCGATTTTTCCAAATAGGAAGTGAAATTTTGTGTAAAAAAATAGTTAGGTGGACAAAACTGGCAAGCAGAGTGACTAGTAGTTCTTCTGAGAGAATGGGTATAATATGTTGTTGTGTGTGATGTCCGCAAAACTGCATGATACACAAAAATCAGGAAAAACATTTCCAACATTTTCCCCATGGTAATTAATAAAGACAGAATCCAGTTGAATGTCTACAGCATGTTAATAAACACGTTAAGACCAATTGATGCGTTTGTATTCCTGATTTTAGTGTTTTCACTGGGGAGGTGGGTGAAAAGAGTATGACTAAATCCTGAGGTCCCATAAATATTTGATTCTTTCCAGTCTGACAGTGTTTTAACTTATGAATCTTTCTGAACTGTCTCTGTAATGCATCCAAAGGCATTAGAACTACTCAATTTTTTTTTTTACGGATTTACAAGTGAAAATACCCTTTCTTAACAGTGCCACTTGCCACAGTGCAATCAGGAACCGTGAGCCCCCCTGGCCTGTGTGGCCCCTGCCTGTCAGTCCCCAGCCTTCCCGAAGGAGGCTCCCACTTGAGACGAAGCAGAGAGACAAGTGCTCATTTCGCTTGTCAGCTGCACCAGATCTGCACTGAGACCGCCAGCAGAGCCTTGTGATGTAGCTTTGAGAGACATGGCATAGAAAGCATCTTTTTTCACCACCTAACCCTCTGCAAAGATAGAAAGTGAATTGTTTTTTAACCTTTTTTTGTTTGCTTATTTGTAATGTGCTTTTTCTCTCTCTTTGTACATTGCGTTTTTTCCCCGTTTGCTTTAAATCATGTGAGTGGTTTTCTTTTTCATCTGCTGTACATCACAATGTTGCAGGCAGCAGAGGATTATATTTCTGTGCTAAATTGTCCATGAACCACGGCTCTAAATTTCAGTCTGAACAGGGACAGGCTATCTATTCCTGTTTGCAGTGATTTCAGGGAAGAGGTAAAAATTAGATGTGTTGGGTAAAACTGGAACAAAAATAACGTTGTTATTTCATTTTCCAAAAGTTATGGTTTTTGGTCTGGGGGAAAAATGAAAAGTAATTTCTTTCACTGCCTTAGAAGCAGCCACTTTTCTAAATCTCCTGATTGAATGCTCTAGAAACACAATTGAAAGTAAGAAAAGGCCATACCTTTTAATACAATCTACAGTCTTTTGAATGTTTGTATCCTTTTCTTTTTTACATATCTTTGGAATTAAACTAGCCTTGTGTGTTAATTGTGGCCAGAAATTAGAAATAATGTTGGTACCCACACCGCCATCTACTGATGCTATCAAGTAAATTCATGTAGCCAATTATTTATTTTTTTTCTCTGACAGAAGCTTTATCCATATGCTGGAATATTTTTATAAGTACAAGCTCATTAAAATTGTGATCCAGACACCTTTGCAGTAATTAGTTTAAAGGTCCTATATTGGCACGGCTACCAAGAGAATGTCGAATAGGTTTCGCTGTCTGCGAGAACCGGCTCTTTGTCAATTTTCTTGACATCTTGTGACTTTTAAATGTGTCTTTTCTGTAGCCTTTCCTGCACCGTGAAAATGCAACCTTTTTTCCCCAGTGCTCGTTACCAACCTCCTGCAGGCCAGCTGATAAGACTCCCTCTCGTGCAGGTAGTCGTGACATAATGGAAATGAATTCAGGCAGTGGATTCTGAAAATAAAATTAGATTGACCCTTGACTGTTATCTCATTTATCTGATTTACATTGTAAAAATCAGAATCCACACTATTGATTTCTACATAATTAGTTAATTATGGACAGGAAGGTAGCTGGTGGGTTTTAAAAACATTAGAGTCCAAAGCAGCATTGACTGAAGGAGAGTCACACAATAAACTGTAGCTAGTGAATGATAAATGGCTCTTGTGTTTTCATTAAACATCATAAAGATTCACTAACTACATTAGCTCTCTCCAAGACAAATACATTGCCCTCTTAGATTTTCAATAACACGGCATTTCCAGAGTTTTTTTAATAGTTGCTTTCTTGAAAAATGTTAAGAATGTATTTTGTTTGTAAGTCCGAATATACTGTTGATAGATATTTGGTTTAAGGTCAATATCATAATCATTCAAATATAAAAACCCAGTTTAGGATTTTAATAACTACATTAAGTGTTAAGCATTTTCATAGCATGTAAATGCTTGCATTTCTACTATTTAATTTTCATTTCAGTGTTAACTAAGCTGATGACATATACACATTACCTAGAGTGATACGCTGATGTTTGTTTTGTTATTACTTTCAGCGATATTTGCCCTCTTGTGTACCCTTGAGATTTTCATCTGATTACTTTAATGGTAACAGCAGTGTTAGTTGTTGTCACATAATTTACATGTATCCTGGCCAGAGGTGGGAGGACTTGGAATCTGATCTTGTCAGATCTCAAAAACTAGGCAAGGCTGTGGCTGGTCAGTAGTGAAATGGGAGATGTCTGAGGAAAAGTGGGAGACCTGTAGGTAGTGCTCTTGTCCCTAAACCACAGTTTTCCAGGGGGCAGAGTGCTGTAGGAGGCACTGTCCTTTGATGTTCAGCCAAAATCCTGACTACTTGTTCATTAAAGATTTAATGACACTTTGTAAGAGTAAAGGTATTGATCTTGGTGTCCTCTCTGGATTTTGAATGATCTGACCTTCCTGCAGTTCTCCCTTAATCCAACTTAATCCAACTAGTCAGAAACATTTGCACTGTGCAGTAGGCCTGCTGGTGCATAATGACCATTGTGCAGTGTCCAGATGGATGCTGCACTTCAGTTGTCGATGAAGAGCCAGTGTTCTATGTGTGTGTAAGTGCTTAAATGTCCTTCAGCATTAAAAGCACTATATAAATGCAAGGAATTTTTGTTTGATTGCAGTTAAAACATTTTCTTCTCAGTCGGTCTTTTTTGTGCTACAATCTTTCAGCTGAAGGATAGACTATATGAGATTTTTTCTGTGTGATTCTTACTGCAGTTTTGCACTTGGTTTCAGCAGTTTGCAGTGCAGTCAAGTTCCTTAACACATTTGAACACGTTTTGTGAAACAGCTGTTTCCCAGTTTCTTTCTCTGTAATTTTTTTTTATGCCGCAAGCCAACCAATGCAGCAATATTTTATTTTTTCACCCTCGTGTTGCTCGCATGCTGCAGTCATTAACCATGCAGTTGTCCACTTTCTCAGATGTGATGAATGTCGGCTGTGCTATCACTTTGGCTGCTTGGACCCTCCTCTGAAGAAGTCCCCGAAGCAGACAGGCTATGGCTGGATCTGCCAAGAATGTGACACCTCGTCTTCTAAGGTATGTGGTCCTCTAATTCCACACCCACAATTCAAGTTGCAGTAGTAAAAAAAGTAGTGCACTAGTTTGCAACTAGTTCATTAAACTCACACCTCAGACATCTTAGATAAATGTTTTCTAAAAACACAAAGTTAGAAAGATAGCGGAACCTGTCTTAGAAAAATAAAAAGCAGTTTTCTAGCTGTTTTTTGGAATAGCCATCTTGCTGGTAAGCAGTGCTGTTTTAAAGTTGCTACTGGAGAATGTGAACTAAAAGAGTAAACCTACAGTAAAACCGGAGGCAGCTGCCACTAAGAAAAGGTATAATAAGGGAAATCTTTCCTGATACTAACCAAGGTTTTTATCAATTCAGATATTTACAGAAGAAGTGCATCACAAAATTAATGCAAAGCATGTTTGTAGAAATTTAGGTTATTTTCAAACTTTCAGAAGCAGAGTGATTTCGAATTTTGCTTTGTTTGGTGTGATCAGGTTAGAGTGTGTTGTAGGCAGTGTGCTTCTGTTTCTGTGTCTCCTCACAATCCATGTAGCGTACTTTGTTGTAATCCTGTTAGCGTCTTCTTCCTCTTTGTAATAATATATTCCTATATTTCCTTGTCTGTCAAATAACGGACAGTCAGTAGCTTTGCTGCAGGGCATTAGGGCAGTATCGTCTTAGCTAGTAATACTGCCTGTCACTTTTCAGTAATAGGCAATGTTCATCACAAAGGTCCTGACAGGCTTTCAGATCTTAAACACATCACTGTATGTGTCACATTACTTTTCTGAGAAAGCCTGCCAGCTGCAATAGAGCTAGAGGCTAACAGGAGTAACAATGATTCATATTACACTATAAGTCGGCCTCCACTTCATTTACATCTTTTGTTCTGTGTGTATGCATTTGATTGTATGAATACATGTGTGTGTTTTGGAAAACATGCTGTTACATTGATATATTATTGTGCAGCACCCTTGCATGAATTACTCAAAGATGTCTTCAAAAGTTTTAGCATAGTTTAAGCTCTAACTGTGTTAAGCTCTTAATTATGGATCAAAGGGAATCTGTAACTATTCGAAGTTGAAAGTGTATTCTGATTGCTGTGAGGCCAGCAGAGACTGCGCTTGTTAAATTCTAAGCTTCCTTAGACTTTGAGTTTTGCCTGAAATTCCTTCATGAGCGCCACAGTCTATACATGACAGCTTATTATCAGGTTGGTCCTTTTCTGCTCCCCCTCAAAAAAAATGAGGGACTTTTTCCAAAGACCTTTCAAGCCCCGCTTCATTTTAATTTTAATGCTCCTGAAAATGGCACAAGTTCCACAAGAATAAAAATAATGGTTTGCTTATTGAATTATATTGTAATCTGCATTTTACGTGGCTCCGTTGGAGCCTAATTAAATTAATAAATGTAACTGCATTCAATTTTGTTTAAAGGGCATCCAGTCTTACTTTAACAGTGCCATTACTCAAGCTGCATTTGCATGAAGATTGTGGGTTAATAGTTTTTGCAAGAGTAAAATACGTGAAACCACAGTGAAAATGTTATGAAGAGCTTTCTGTGTTCCTGGAGAGTACTGAAGTGAAGTGTGCTGTGCATTAGTAATTCGTTTTCCAGTGAATAGTAGCCAGCAATAAAGGAATGTATTAAGTATGTGCATGTCATTTTTCTCATTAACATGGACCTTGTATTTCATTAAAATACAATATTTTTATATTTTTATAAAAAAATGTAGATGTATTTCAATTGACATTTGTTCTTGGCTTGAACTAGTTGGGTTTGAACTGAAAACAGGTTTTCAGAAATGAAAAGAAATGTGAAGTTTATACTGATGACTGCATTCTGTTCTTATTTTTTATACCTTAAAGTCTTTGCCTTTTGTGTGAGAGAGGCTATTATAAAGCAAGGAATAAGGAATTACTACTGATAGGTGACCTGCTGTTATATTATAAGGATTATATTTTTACAGAAGCCATGAGTGAATGTATTAGTTGAAGTTTAAAAAGAAAGAGTTAAAACAGTCTCTCTGAAAATGTGGTAGGTGAAAGGCCATCAGGATTAAACAAGTCTTTGCTTTCTAGAGTACTTCTTGACAGCGGTATTGAAGTACAAGGCAAAGTCTCTTGAGCCCAAGGACTAGACACAGCCTCATTTAATCATCCCCTCAAAGCCTGCACATCTCTGTTTTGATTTGTGACTTGTCATGCACTTGCCCCGTTGAAGTCACTCTCATGCTGTTCCGGTGGATTTCATTAGTACTTTAAACTTGGCTTTTCCAAATTAAGCTTTATTTGCATCTTCCGACCTAGAGTTTCTTTCTTTTGAAATTTTCCCCTTGTTGTACCTTTTCCAAATGGCACCTACCTGTGTTTTTTTGCTCTTTAACTTCAAATTCTCATGTTGCGTTAATTATGTAATTGTGCAGCAACAGCAGTACCCTTTTCTACATTAAATGCAGTAGGAGTGAACATTGTTCCCCATTTCAAAAACAGGTATTCTTTTTAGAAAGCAATTTACAGCAGTGATACAGTGATTCTTATTAATGAGTTCCGCTGTACAACGTTTCCCCTGTAAACCGCACAAGAAAAGAATACCTTTACTTCTACTAGAGAGCTCAGTGTAATTCCATCACAGAGCTAACCTTTTAATTAGAAAACAAAAATTGTTTCATTTGACCTACCACATATCAGCAGTCAAGGATAGCCACTACATTCTGACAAATAACATCAGTTCTTGCAGTTTAAACAAACTTAACTAACAATGTGTAATACCCAATACTGTAGTAAAACAAATCCATCTGCATTTTGAAAAAACTCTTAGTGTGGAATTTTGTGTATGAAACTTGTGAGTGTAAAATATGTTTATTAAATGATTTTCACTTAGAAGCCAGGTGAATAAAGTTGAAATAACACCTGTTAATAGTTATTAATTTAATTCACAACAACATTACATCAGTACCTAACAGACTTTTAAAAGGGTAAAGGTTATTCAGCAAAAAACAATGTGTCCTTAAGACTGTTTTTCACTTTTACTAAGTGGAATATTTTTGTTAAGTTAATTTAGCAGAAATTGTATTGTCTGTACTTCACTTGGAAACTGTGTACCTATTACTGTTTCCACTTGTGTTTGGCAATGGTTCAGATGTATGTGATAACGATATGAATAAAGGTAAATCAATAAACAAAACAAGATGCATACAGTGACTGAATATGGGCTAAACTGCAGCAGTTCTCTGTTGCTTAGCAAGCCTAAATGATCCAGCACTGAAAAGGACAAATCCGTTTGAGGCAGTTTCTCAACATGCGTGTTGAGGTGATGTTGATGTACCCTTTTCACAAGCATAGTCGCAAATATTGGCATACAAGACAACCTAGAGAAATGGCAATCTGTTCTGTGTACAAATTCAGACACGTTTGTCTTTTATGAAAAGCAGTGTAACAACATAATTACCATTGTAGTGATTGTACACCTTGTTCGTAAGTATAATATGTAAGTCATATTATTTGATATGTATGACATCTAAACCATTGCTGAAATAGTGCCAAAGGTCTGACACTGTGGTTTTAAATGTAGCTTATTCCCTGCATTACAAAAATATGCCATATACATGCAGCGATCACTGATGCTTGTTTTACAACAAATGAAAACAAGATCCGTTCCTAAGCGGGGAAAAAAATATTGTGGCTCGAGTAAAAAAAAAAAGTTGTGGCTTTCAGTTAAAGAGAATTCATAATATTAGTAATTACAATCAGAATCATTACCTTCAGAAACTTTAGGACTTACTTTGACAGTGGTTATATTCTAGCCTGATTTTTATAGTTAATAAGAGAACATGTTCTCTAAAAAAGATGTTCTCTTCTCCAGTCATTCTGAAATATTAGCACATGTAAAATGACTACATGAAAGACTACAAGTGAGTTCATCTAAATTGTTGGGTTGCTAGTAGCTAAGTAACCCAAGCATCTAATCCAGATATTTTGTGAAGTAACCAAGTAACAACTTGGTTTCTTTCACAAAAGACCCTCAGAAAACAGACTTCTGAAGCAGACAGAACTGAAAGTTTCACCTATCCTAAGCTTGTAAAATCAACAGATAAATACAGAATTACTGGGCGGTTATGCTCAGGATGTGTGTAAAGGGATTCTCTTAATTAATATTTTTGCAAAAATGCCCCCCAAATAACCCAAAACAGCATTTAAGTGTCAGAAATCCATTAACTGGGGCTGCTCATTTGACTTATCAGTTAATTGCAGCTTCATCAGATGAAAAATAGTTATTATCATCTTTTAAAATTTGAGTTCTTAAATTGCAATCTGTTTTCTGGAAAAAATGTTGCCATGTATGTCTTAACATCCTTTAAGTAATGTATTGCTATACTTTATAATCTTGACTTTAGTATGACTAGAACAGTAAATGGAAATGTTAGTATACAAGCTCCAGCAATTTCACACACACATTGCTTTCATGACGATGCCTTTTAATTGAAGTGCAGAAGCATGACTAAATTGTTTTTCAGATGTCTTAAAAGTAAATCCTCATATTTATGTCACACATAAAAAAGCGAACTATTTTAAATGTTTCATTCATAAACAGCCAATTGATTGCACAGACCTATGGAAAATGCTTTTTTACTGCTTCAGAATGTCTTTAAGAGTAAAATACTGTATTTCATTAACTGATGTTTCACCTAATTGTTATTAAATTATTTTTAATCAACTGTGTGTTCTATTATTAACTGAGGATAAAAGAAATACTTTTATATAAGCTAAAGAAAATATAAAATTACATTAGTACAGAGAATGCTGGTTTTAGAATTAAAGATAATTATTTTATGTGGTGTGCTCCTGCTTTTAAATAACCCTTACTGTTTTTTTTTATAACTTGGTAAGGGTATAACTCTGTATTTCTGCATTTGTATTTTTTATATTCTGCGGTATTGCCAGGTAAGAAGGGCACCTGGGCTGTTGAAATAGGTCACGAGTTCTGAAACTGAAAACATTCTTTCACCGCACTGATTCACTCC